ATTGGCACATTTTTCATTTAATAATCTTTATGTGTACCGGACATTTGTTGTCTTCCCACACGCTTATCAGGGTTATTGTGCAGGTTATGTAACATTTCTTATAGAGGAATCGTCTTACATCTTCCGCTCTGATATCAACACATTTTAATCGTTTTCATTCTTAAAGTGCATTTTAACGGAAGCTTCACATAATAGGTTTGACTTTTGTGCCGTTAAGTTTTCCTCTGTTAAGTGTTTGAACACAGAAAATTAATACACGAAAAAGGTATGTTGTTTAAATATTTACGTTTTACACCTATACGCCATTGTAGCAGTAAAAGCTCTTAATGAGATAAGTTCTAGCAATTAACTTAATTGCGAATTGAGAACCATACAAATAAGTCACTGAACAAGTTACCTTTACATTGACAGGCTGGAATGTTATCATAAACATTTCTATTTTCTGCTTTTCTCTATGTATTGCATAAATAATTGATAGCTTATTGCCTCATTTGTCGATTCGCGTGTTCTGCCCACAAATATTTGCCAATTTCACCGGTAATGACGTCAGGCCAGATACATTGCAAGCAAACCCACACTTTTTCAAAACCTGATAATCTTCAGACACAACAGTAAGATGGAAAGTGACTAGTTTTTGCAGACCGATTTGCTAAATTGCCTGATGGGTGTATAATATGGTAATTTAACTGTTAACAAAATTTAAATAACATCTTCACCCGATTTATTAACAACAATAACTGCAATAACACTCGTGCTATTTACGTAAGCAACAAGCATTGAGATGTTTTATTGTAAGTAATAAAATCTTATTAGATTGTAGATGCTAAATCCTGAACATTGTCAAGAGATTTACGACAAGCATTTGCGTGTATATGCATTTCCTACTTAACTGTACATAGGGTGTTTGAAATTGAGTATATTTCCCTTAACCACCGATAATATAATTTATCATGATTAACCAATTTTTGTAAAAATATTTTTCTGTATTGCATTTTGTGCACTTTTTGCTTTATAGTATTTTCACATGGTAAAGGAAATCTAGAAATATTAGAAAACAGAGTTAATTATTTTATGAGTGGAAATTGGTAAACCCCAAATGGTAGTACTACTACTACCGAGCTTGATTCTCATAAAAGTATCCTAAATAAATAATTCTCTTCTCAATACAATAAAGTGCAAAATTCAACCTATGGTGTTGGGTTTCGACATATTTATGCTAAAGGATATTTACGTCCTCCAATAAAAGTACTTGACTCTGTTTTCAAATAATTCTGTATCTACTTTATACTAAACCGTTTTAAAATATAGGGTGTTTACAGTCTTGGAGTTGAAATTTGACCTAGTAATAGAAGAGTCAGAAATACTGTAACCGAGAAAAAAACTCACACAATTGTTAATATCAAGAATGTTATTTAACTCCAAAATATTGGTACACGGTTTGAGGGTCACTGGAATTATTTCCTTGTTCAGATAAAATTGTATTGTTGCAACAGATTAAAAAATCGTATCCATGACAATGAAAAATAAAAGTCACTTCATAGTTTTGACACTATCATCATTTGATTTGCTTTTGTTTTAGTTTTTATCAAAATTCGAAGATACTGTTTAATCTCTTTCAGCGAATGGTTTCAAATAGGTTTGATTCTTTTTCTTAATTTTTCTCCAAATTTATGAACATGTATGGCAAAATATTAAAATAATAAATTGGTTGTCGTGATTATGATTTACGTTGAAACACAAGGTAATGATACTAATGGCCATTGTTGCAGCCGAAGCAACAGTTCTCAAACAAATAGTGTAAAATAAATAATTTCCTTTAACAACGTGAATTTTTGTTTTATATAGCGTATTAGTTTTCTTTTACCTTGGATATCATCTCATTTAAATTTCAACCTCAAGACCGTAAACACCCTGTAAGTACGACTTTGGGCGCACATTTAGTTTTTAAGATTTTATCAATTTCATGACTGTAAATTAAAAAAACAAACATTTAAATGTTGTTACTTGAACTTAACTTGGTTTAAAATAATGAATTCAGACACTGGTGTATTATATGAAGAAGTTTAACCATACTCGCACTTATATCTCGTGACGATGATCTCATATTATGGGCGTTTTACCATGATTTATGGCTCACAGGAAGTGTTCAATAAGAGGTACACTACAACAACGTGCATCACGAAATTAATCAACATAAATCAAAACATATTTTATATACTTACAAAGCAGTCTGTTCTTTGAAATCATTGTTTTTCTGGTAAAACACAGATAAATCATTAGTAAGGTTGCTTTAGCTCAGATTATATACTCTAACATGCTATTGTTAACATCCTGAGACGATTATTTTTGACTATCCTCGTCATATTTACATTTATCGTTAACATGGTTCAATTATAAACTGTTCAAACCTTGGAAAAATTTGTACAAGGCAAAAACAAAATTCGTTTCATTAGCAGACGATTTATGTGCAATTTTAGCACCAGTTTTTGCCTTACATTATCATTTTAATCACCTCATTAATCTATAATCTACTTTAACAAATATTTATTTTGTTTGAATATTGTTTGTTGGTATTGTTAGCGTCTGGACGAATTCTAAAAAAAGGCAAGTGTGGAAGTTAACAAGTCGGCATTTTAAAATATGTAATAGGATATAAAACAATGAACGACCCACGCTGTCTGTTTGAGTAAATTGTATAAATTAGAAGCAGCACGCAATGCGATTAAAACTTTAGCTGTGATGATGGTCACCATCCAGGCCAAAGACCAAAAGCACCGCCCGCACAGAAAATCTCACGCATCGCATCGGATATTTTACGCACTTGGGGTGCTATGAATAACGATGACAACACTTCCACGTGGACCGGCTCAACAATATCAACAACTTCTTTAAATTCATCAATTTCCGCGTAATTAAGGCAAGGACGTGGCCACATATTTAACCACAATTGCTCGAAAATGTGGGCCAAAGTAAATGGCTCATGGTTATTTTTTCCAGATTTGTGAATTTCGATGAGACCCAATAAATAAGTTCAATGTCGACGTGAGAACAAAGTCGGGTCTTGGGGCAACGTTCTTGCGAATCGGCGGCTTTTGCCAGCCCCTGATGTCATGTCTAAATTTACAAAGGAAGGATGTTGATACGACATGCACAGTGGCCATTCGAATATAATTTGTTTACGGACAGCTTCGGACTGTGACCTCTGGGTATCGACTGTGACAGAAAAATGAGATCACCTTTTAATAAAACCATTATTTTGCCATCATGGAATCGCTCAAACACACCGAGGAAATCACTTGGCACAGTACTCGACATTTTTCGACACCACTGATGATTTCGAGCATCGTCCCTGATCTCAATCTCAAGTATTTGCAAACAGATTTTAATGTTATCATCACAAGATGCTTCCCATTGTTGAGACTAGTTAATTAGCTCACGTGGCCATACACGTGTTTTTGTCAACTTTTGGAGGTTTGCCATCGCAAAGGTCGGAAAAGTAGAGATGGCTTTACATAATCGAAAAATAAATTATTTTTAGGACAACATTTTTTAATAATTATTTTGTTCTGGAATATACGTACTAATTAACTGATTTTTATCATCTTATCTCAATTTTTAGTTTTGATAATGACCAATTTATTTGGATAAAAAGTATCTACTATCACACTCTTGTACGTTTTAAAGGATCATCATTTATTTTTAGCTTCTGGACGATAATTAAATAATTATCTGCATCGAATAATTAAAAACAAATACATTTATCAGCTTTTTCAATTCATTGCCACCTAATCACTTAACTTTAAAATGATTTTTTTTGGCTTTAGACTGACTATAAAGTTTCCACAATTATTGTATGTAGTATGATCTCAGTTTTTTTTAATCGAAATTAGTCATTTTAATAGCCTATAATGTACCTTAATGTAAATGACACAAAGTACGTAATATTATTGTACTCTTACAACCTGAGTCTCATGACATCACTCCCCCAAAAGACGCTTACATCATGGTTAAATCTTGCATTGAATGACCTGCCACGACTGTAACCCTTGTCAAGAAAAGGCACGCAACATTTTTCAACTGTTGGCTGCGGCGGGCGGCATGATGAAAGACATTTGCTCCAACGTGATGTTTGATCATCACCATTTTTGATTATTTAAATAGTCGACAAAAAATTGCTAGTCACCTTTTGTACGATTTTATTTAATTATTGTTGATTGCGGATTGTTGTATTGCGACTGATATAGAAATCTCGTCATGAAAGTTCAAGATGTCAAGCCTTGCCCCTTGACGGACGTCATTTTGTTTGGTACTGAAAAGGAGGAGTAAAAATAGAGATGATCTACACCTAAACAGAGGATTCGAGATAATTGACCAATAAACCCGTAGTTTTGATAAGACATGCGTGTGGATATTTTTTGATAAACGTAGCAATTTGTAATTAAATTTGTTTTTAAAAAAGTATAATATTTATTGTCTTTGACTTGTTTGTTACAAGTTTGTATCTGAAGTAATGTAGACACTTGTAGAAAAAGCCTACAACCACATCCTTGTTCATAGATAAACTATTTATTAACCTTGTTGAGAAACAGTGTCTCGTTTTTTAGCGTCTCGAGTTACCACGACTGGAAGAGCATGTCATTTGTGTATAATTGCGTATGAAATTTTCTGTTTAGTTGATCTTTAATCGTTGAGGAGGATTTGTTTAATGAAGTGTGTTGTGTGTGTGATGGCAAAATCTGCAATGTTTCATCGCTTGTGTGTGAATTTTCTAATGTTCTTGTGAGTATTTTGTGATGAATGAATAGTTAAATGTGAAGCAATTTATGTGAATGAATGTGAAAAGAATGTTCCAAGTATAACACGACACCATGAATTATGAGTTATGATTACAACGTTGACTTTTGGAGTGTGGGGTTCATTAATATTTTAAGTATTATCTCATTTTTGCTGCTTGCTTGTATCAGAGAAATTTATTATTTATGTTGTTTGTCTTCTTGCAGAGACGTTTACAATGCAATTTGCCTTCGGTTAGGACACACCCAGTATATTCCTGAAGATTCCGTGCAAACTGTTTTTAACGATATGCAGCTTTATCCATCGAAAGATCAAGGTAAGGCGAAATAGAGAGTTGCAAAAAAGTGTTGCGGGTGTTTAACTTGACCTGACCGGACCAAAAATGACAGTTACGCAATAATTTCCAACAATTTCATAGAGTTTTCGAGGATTTATACATATATTTTTTGAATGTATGATTCAATTGCTATCGCAGATAATCAAAGTGATAATTGGTTGATAAGAAAAAATTATTAGCACTAGTTATTTAGTTTTTTTTCTCCATATTTTCGTGACCATTTGAAATATACCCAGGTAAGCCTGAGTAGAACTGACAGTAATGTTACATTTTTTTTTTCAACACAGCCATAATATTCAACAGTGTGTTTACGGTCTTGAGGCTGAAATTTAAAGGAGATACATACACAGTAGATGCAAACAAATATTCTAATAACATAAAAATTCACGATATGAAAGAAGATAATTCATTTTATGTTATTTGTTTGAGAACCGCAGCTTCGGCTGCAACAATGGCTATTAGCAAATCATTAACTTGTGTTTCACCGTAAATTATTATTTTAATATTTGCGATCCATGTTCATAAATTTGGAAAAAAAATTAAGAAAAACAAAGCAAACGATTTCGTTGGAAGTGATTAAATTGAAGATTTTCGAATTTTGATAAAAACTAAGGCAAAAGTAAATCAAAAGGTGAAATAAATAATTACGGTGACCCTCAAACCTTGTACCAATGCTTTGAAACAATTTTTGTGAGTTTTTTTTTGAGTTACACTATTTTACTACTCTTTTATTACTAGGTCAATTTTCAATTATAAGACCGTAAACCTTGTACATCCTAGCCTGTCCCAAGTTTTAGGGCCGGCCCAAAAATAAATATTTCTAATTGATTAAAAAAATTTTTGCTAGTGCAAACAATAGAGGATTATATAGACTTCAATTTAGTACTTTGATATTATTTAAAATTTTTAGCGTATGTCTGAGATCCTAAAAACCAAATTTGGAAAAAAAATTTCAATTAATTGGAATCTTTTCTACATGATAAAATTCCTTGATTTTTTACTTTCCTTATCCTATAAGGAAAGTATTGTAATCTGCTGAAATTTGACCTACCCCAGATTTTTCTGATGGTAACTGTAAAAATTGAATAATGTAAAAATTGATGGATTTTGAGTAATTAAGTAAATTCTGGTAATTTATGGCCAAGTTTGGGATGATGTGCTGCTAATGCATTGACAATAGAGCGGAGGCTTCACAATCGAGCTCGGGTACGTCATTGCGGACCTTTTTCTTTTGTTCTGAAATTCTGGCCTGATGAAACCTAGCAACTTTTGCATTATTTTATTTTCACAGTTATTACAAGAAAAAATCAAGGAATTTTTTCATGTAGAAATTATTCCAATTAACATTTTTTTTCAAATTTGGATTTTATGATCTCACTGCCATACTCTAAAAATTTTGAATAATATCAAAGTATTAAATTGAAGTCGATATAATCCTCTATCGTTTGCAAAAAAAAAAAATCGATTAGAAATATTTATTTTTGGACTGGCCCTAAAACTTGGGACACGCTGTATAGTATTTTCAAAAACACTCAACAATTAAAAAAATCTAGGTTAAAAATATTTGCCGGCGCTTGAGTTTTTGAACAGTTTACAGGTATGTTTACTATGTAGACTAACTTGGATATTATTTGTTTAAAATTAGTACTATCTTTTGGTATATGTAAAGTACATAGTTATAAAGATATGTAAGGACGTATGTATATAATAGAAGGTCATATTCTTTTGTTTGTAAACTTGTAACATACACTGTGTCAATTTTAAAACTTGAATCGGCAATATCTCTCAATAGAATAAGTTATTGAGAGTCACTCAAAACCGTTTTGGTGGCTCCTAGGGGGAATCAAAATGACATGGTAAGTGACGCACCTCCAACCACCCTTGCCTTGAATATAATAAAAGAAATGAAAATTTCTTCGTTCTTGAATAATTGGTAAAACAGCTTTACCAAATAGGTTGTTGTATGACATTTTCGAAAAGCGCTTGTTATAAGCTTTCCAACAATGTATCACAAGTAGGGTCGTGCCATTCAAAATTTTCAACTTGGGGTGGCTGTGGCTTCAAGGGTGGGTGGAGGTGCGTCACTTACTATGTCATTTTGAATCCTCCTAGGAACCACCAAAACGGTTTTGAGTGATTCTAAATAACTTTTTCAGTTCTAGAGATATTGTCGATTGCAAGTTTTAAAATTGACAACCTGTATACCACATACCATTGCCATTTCCACAGTGGCAACGTCGTCGCATCTGCATTTTTGAGGTGAAATAGGTTTGAAACATTTGATTTGTGTGTAAAAGAAAAAATTGCGTTACACCTGAACCCTACTGACAAATTTAGAGCCAGATGGTTCATACCGAAAAAAATATTACGAAAAGTGACAGAAGTGGTGATACGAGTAGCTATGGCACTAGATGCAGACTGGATTATAAAAAACGCCACGAACCATGATTTCACTGATTTCACTTCTTTTAAAGACGTTACGATACTTTTATGATTAAAATTGAACAGATTTTTGTTATCAGTCGTTTGTTTGTCTTAGATAAAATGAATTAAAATGCTCTATTATTTTCACAGCCTACTTTATTTTATTCAAAACAAAAGTTAGTGATAAGTAATAGTGAGCTTGTTGAAAGATAATTTACCAAGGAATCCAAAAATAATATAATTTTTAGGGTTTTATAGTGGATTGCCATTTAAAAAAAAATATTTCTTTTTGTAGAACTCAAAAACAAAATAAAATTTCGAGAAATTTTATTCTTTATTTTATTCGTAATTTTTTGTCATACTGTTTCTTTTTTGCTATCTACAGTCCCATTCAAAAAAAAAGTGGTCGTCAATGTCATTTCAAAATTTAATAAATAATAAATAATTTACATTTTGACAACAAAATTGATTTGATGACAAATTACCAAACTTCATGATGTCAAGTAATGTGTTTTTCTTATTTTAAGGTTACGCTCATACACCGGAATAATTAATTTTATGCCAAAATGTGACATTGACGACTACTTTTTTGAATTTGACTGTATCTACTTTTGTAATTAATTATTTTTAATTATGAGAGATATAGGTGCATTGGGTTTATAGCTAGCTATAGATTATTTTTGTATTGAAATTTAAGGCGACATATTTATATTGATGACATCACTCTCATAGAATAAAAAAAAAATATATAAGATATCGCTGCAATTATCAATTTTATGTTTTAGTTCAGTTTATTTATAATTTGAGAAAAGTTTTCATATATAGGTAAAACATTTCGTGCCCTATTTCCATTTGTTGTTCCATGCTTTCAAATAAATTTCTGATTTAAGTGTCCTATGAGTTTGAAATTAGGTACTTAGGTATACAACATAAACTTTCAAATTCAAACGTCACTTTTTTATAGTCAATTATTATTTAAAGTTGTGCTTCAACTCTTGTTTTCTCAATTTATTTAACTAAAAGTGATATTAATTATATTGAAGTATAATTACTGATAACTATGTAGCGTAATTGTTTATAATTATTTTTGAAAACCGGGTGCATTCAAATTTCATGTACTGTCATTTCTTTTGTCAACGCCTGTACACCTGAAAAATCAATAATATAACCTCAAAATAATGACTTTTAGGTTATTTAGAAAATCAAAATGAATCACAAGTAATAACAGCCTCGTGTTTTTTTTTCAGTGTCAGAAATGCTGAAGTGTGCAAGACAGTGTGGTCGACGAAATGGGGCATCTAAACATCTCACCTTTGGAGAGCTTTGCGTCTTTGTTAGAGAAATGCAAAATCAGAATCCCAAACAGAACCGCAAAATTCAGTCATGTAAACCGAACAACCGTGAGTGATTTAAAGTCATTTCATTCAATTTTTAACTAATCCTAACTGATATTTTATTTTTAGAATGTGGAAATAATTGTGAAGTATTCTTAGGAGGGTCATGCAATCCCACGACATGGAGAGCCGATACTGCAATTCCAGAGCTCCAAAAACATGGTATTACATTTTACAATCCAGTAAGTTGAGTATCGGGTTTGTGTTGCAAAACTAAATTGATAATTTGTAGCAAGTTTCGATGTGGGTGCCCGAATTGGTGGCTCAGGAGCACGATGCTAAGCAAGCAGCTTCAGTTCTGCTTTATGTAGTAGACAATCAAACGAGGAGTACAGTTGGCATGATTGAAGTTGCATATTTAGTGGCTTCGGGGCGGTGTGTTGTCATTGTGGCACATTCATACAGGCCAGGACAAAGTATTATGGGGGAAACAATCACGCAGAGGTTTGTCATATCCTCAATGAGTCACTAATTATTACCTGGAATTTTTTTTTAGGGAATATAGGGATTTGGTAGAAGGCCAAACAACGTTATTAACTCTGGTTAGGAGTAAAGGAATTAAAGTCCACCAAACTTTACCTTCAGCTTTGCAATGCACCGCGAAGATTTTGAGAAATGTTAGCGATATGACACCCGAAGAGCAGCTAACTTCTAAGCTAAGGTTTGTATAAATGTTAAAGAACTACAAACCGCATATAAATTTGCGTCTGTGCCTCTAATAATAGCCACACGTGGGATTTACTTGTGACGATAATTTTTTCCGTTGTTGCAGAAAATTACGAGAGATTTTTGACTCCTGTGGAGGTCCAACCGGTGAAATCGATACCTTGAAATTCATGAGAGCTTTCCAACAATTAACTCAACGTGAACTAACTAATAATGAACTGTACAAGTATTTTTCCCCCAACAACAAAAACATCACATTTGATAAATTCTGCACGTTGATGGCAGAATTGACCAGTGACAACTGTGATACAAGCCTAACAAATGGTAGATTTTCTGATCCTTTTTACTGGACGTGTGCACTTTTGAAGACTCGGCATTTGCTCAATTCTTACGTTCTTGAACCAGTCTTAGGTAGTTTACACCCAAACTTTTTTTCCCACTGTACTCAGATTTGTACGCTTTTTTTTTATTTAGTTTGTCATTTGCTCAAAATGCTGACTTTCAAAAGTGATCACATACATCGTTTTGTTTATTTTTGCTATTTGGTGAGGTTAAAGTGCACACAACATAAACAGATGTATACTTATTTACAACGTATGTTTCACTAACTGGACTTAGTTTTAAGTTTCTTTTTTTTTAGGATGGGTGAGTCAGCCATTTCAACGCCAATGTTCAACCAATAACAATACTTGTAACATGGACAACTCTGTATTGAATGGTACAATGGACGAACCCGTCAGCAACGTGACATTTAAGAGCAAAATATATGATGTATTTCTCGGTGGAACACATAATTCTGTGAGAAACTGGCGGGAGGATATAGCCATACCAACATTTAAAAAGTACAATATACGATATAATCCAATTTCTATGAACGGTTATGAAGTGTTAGATAATAAGAGCGTGACTGATGAAGATGTTTTGGGATGGAAACAAATGATGGACAGCGCTGATGTGTTATTGTTCGTCATAACGGAGGATACGAGGTCATTGACAACGATGATCTTAGCGGCTCATTATATTGCATTGGGAAAAAACCTTGTCCTGTGTGTGCAGCACTTACCAGAAGAGAACTGTGTTGTTGGCAATGAATCTGTGAGTTTTTTTGTCTCTTGAAGAAATGATTTTAATTTTGTTTGTGTAACAGCTGTCGGAGCAGGCGATAAAAGATTACAATCGAGGGAGGGTGTACGTAACGGATATGGCGAAACGTAAACAAATTCCAGTATTTGAAGACATCGCAGAAGCTGTGCAATGTGTAGTCAACATAATACAGAGCAGATAGTCAGATACCTCATGATTTTATAAATGAATTGAAATTTTCATTTCATGACACGGGAAAAAATCTTTGCTCTCTTGAACGTTTTTGTAAGGCAGCTCTCTTCCTGTAAAGCAGCTCGTTTCAGGTGAAATGAAATTTTCGATAAATACGCTTTTAAATTTTTAATTATTTATTATGAATGTTTTAATGTAATTATTTTCATTGTTATTGAACACTTATTGGTGCAATTTTTTATTTGTTTGATCATTGTAACGGAAATCTAACTTCGTGGATGTTTACCACTAAAAATAATTTTAGATGTAAAGTGGAATCATTTTTATTAATTGAAAGTAAAATGTTTACCGTTGTGAGTTGGTCACAAAACGGTACTTTTCGTATTTAACAGCTATACTTTGATATGTAAAAAGTGATGAAGGTAGCTAAATCTGATACCAAATGGTTAGATGGTAAAGACAAGTTCCTCTTTCAAATGTAAATACGGCGGCTACTTAAGTATAGTTGTTAAATTTTTTTGTTAAAACGATGATATTATTTAAACATCACTCCAGCTATAATACCTGTTTCACATTTTTTCATTAGTTTGTAGGTTATTAATTAAACTTTATACAAAATTAATTGTACAGTAGAGTAATTTATTATACACTATGTTTTTAATATTATAATATATTGAAATATGTTAAATGTTATGTGCAATCTAAGGGTGAAAAGCCAGCTGGTGTTTTAAGTACTTAAAGTGTGGATGCTGCTGGATGTTTTATGCATTTAAGTCAGAAAGCAAATGTGGCCCAAGTCATTTTGCAAATGTTTTTCTGTAACGTTCCACATTTGCTTCAGTTGCTAGATTGGAAGAGGAAGGAAATATAGTACAACTTGTTTTCTTACAGTTTATGACATGTGATTTATTTGATGACAAGGTAGCCATGGCAGAGTAACATCAGTATTTGTAAGAGGTGTTGTACATTTTATTGTTTGTTTGTGAGATTGTTCAAACTGCCGAAGTTTACATATTTGGGAACGAAGTGGAGATTTTTATCTCCTTGGGCATGTTCTGTACCTGAAAAAAATATATGAAGAAGGAACTAATATTTTTATAATAACAGAATCTCATCTACTAGTGTAACGAACTTATCATTTTGTTATCATCGTAGGAGTAGTCTTACATTTGTCATATTTTTTATGTCTTTTTTGGAAATGCCTAAAACCTTCCATTCTTGATAGGACAGTACATTTTGGCAGCATTTTCCTTACATTCATTGTAGTTCAACTAGTAACAACCGAAATTTAACTAGCTAACTAATTAGCACTTCTTGTATTTATTATTTTTTTAATGTCTAATAAAACTTTATTAAAAAGAGGTGTTTTAATTTTTGATCTTTATTTTTACTTGGTTCCAGACAACATTATTTGATTTGTTCTGATCCGGCCAAAACCTCACCAACTCAATTTTTTGTTCCCAGAAGCAATGTTTTTGTGACTGCGATTTTCCAATTTTCAAAACAATTTTTTTCTGATTCCATGCTGTGACGAACTTGTTTTGCTCGATTTTTTGTGATCGTTATGGATTTTTTGCTTAATTTTTTGTGATCATGAGCAATTTATTGTGACCGGGAGATTTTCCGGAGCAATATTTTTAAAGGTCTTTTTAACGACGAGTTATTTATTACTTAATTTTTTTGTGTTTGTGTGCAATTTTTTTGCTTAACTTTTTGTAACAACAGGCAATTTGTTCTGACAAGCTAATTTTTTGCATCAATTTTTGTTATTGTACTATGATCATGGGCCATTTTTTGTTTGTGGTACTGTTGTTCCAACAAGTGATTTTTTTTGACTGCGATTTCTGGAGAAATTTTTGTTAAATTCTTTGTTACAACGAACAGGCATTTGCACCATTTTTTATTCCATTAGCAATTTATTGTGAATGAATATTTTCCGGAGTAATTTTTGTAGAGTTCTTTATGTACCACCAATGAGCTATTTTTTAACGCTGATTTTTGTGGTCGTGTACCATTTTTTGCCAAAGTTTTTGTTCCAACAAGCGATGTTTTTGTGACGGCGAGTTTCAGAAGCAATTTTTATTAAAGTCCTTGTTTGAAGAGTGATTTTTTGCTTAACAGAGTCCACCACCGACCATGAGGAAAAATGATACAGGAAAAGTGGGATAAAAAATAGACTGGCGAAAGTTTTATAATTGTTTTATTAAATAAATCTTCTAAATTTATTGACTGACATATAACGTTAATACTTTCTAACATGTACAAATAGGTGATATGCGTATAGAGAAATACACATAAATCCAGTCAATAGTAAAAAAATGAAATCAAATGCAACCACTTATAAAAGCTCGTTATGTACAAAAACAAAGAGACTAGTTGCTTTAATAAATAAATAATTATGTACAAAATGTACATTCGTTTCGTTAAAGTCTATGTACAGGCCTACAACAGAGACAGATTTAATTTAGAAATCTCAGTTGCTATCACGATTAGTTGATTTCAACATTCACTTTTAAAAAATTGCTTTATACAAACAGTCCATTTAAAATATTTGCGATAAAAATGACTAAACGATAATAATAAATAATATAAAAAGTCTCTAAACATATAAATATTTTACTTAAAAGTTTTTTCTTTATTATTGGCAGTTGTGGACGTAGTACGATTGGCACAATTAGATAAATTGAAGATGCCGTGAGCAGGGTTTTCTGTTACGTTTTGGGAAAGGACGGGTTGGCGAGATTCTTTAAGATTCGCAGAAGACAACGAACTACTGCTAATGCCCGAATCACTAGATTTTTCACTGAGACAACTTCTCCCAAGTACAGAATTATTCTCATTGAGGCCTAATTCGGAGCCTCCACCTACAACATATTTGACTGAAGTCAACTTTTGATCCGCTTCGCACACATCTTCGCTATTTTTCCGTCCACTAGCACGATTAAGAAGGTTTCTACGACAAGGATCTATTAAAGTGGTTTGTCCGTGCACACTTACATATGAATCTTTCGGCTTCTTTTGCAACTTTTCCGAACTCGATGAATTCGGTATGTTTGGTTGATAAGACAGCTCTTCTTTCAGATTCATCGAATTCTTTTGAGCTTGCCGTACTCGTGCTAATATTTCATTATTGCATTGTTCTACTACAGCATCTAAGTTATTCGTATTATCACAAAATCCAGCATTATCACTTGCGTCCGATTCTCCTTGAGGAGAAATGTGGGCTTGACGAGAACTCTTCAACGCAGCATCGTAACAACCAGAGTCTCGGGGAAACTGTCTTCTGCCGAACGGAGAACAAGAACCTCCAGCCTCCAGAGCCAGAATCCTGTTATGGTCATCGCCTTCACTACTCGATCCGGCGATGTCTCCTTCACTTCCCGCTGAAAATAAACAACCAAATATTAAATAAAAAAATCCGGCTACAAACAGACTTAAAAAAATTTAGATGTCCACTACTGAAGATCACATGTGGATTAATGTTTTCTTATCAAAACTTTAACTATATTTTTTAAATATAGTACATATTTCAGTGCTTAAGTAGTAGTCGTTTAAATTTTTGCAACTTTGTACACTACATACTACAAGGTGAATAAAAAGTATGGAACCAAACGTTTTTTGCTTAAACTATTTATTTTTTGAAAAAACTAATTGATGAGTGATAAAGTACTATAAAAATGTGATGATTTAACAAGAATAAAATTTTTCGAAATTTGCTTTTGTTTTTGAGTTCTACAAAAAAAAAATATTTTTTTAAATGGCAACCCACTATAAAATCATTTTTCTCATAAAAGCTATACTCTAAGGATTACAACTACCTGCTTTATATTTAATTTTTTCAAAAAAATTTTTTTCACATAAATTGCAATTTTGACAAAAAAAAATCGCATAACTCAAAAACAAAACAAAATTTTGTTCTGAAAATACGATCAGATTTTTTATATTACTTTAATTTTATTAATTATTATTTCTGGATGCAATTGATTAAAAATAAAACCGCTTGGTTCCATACTTTATATTCACCCTGTATGTATAATATACAGTACAGTAGCTAAAAATCTTCCTAATGGCAATCAAAGACTAATTAAGTAGTTACTTAATCTTAAAGTTTTAAGATGTAGATATTAATCGAAAAAAATACAAATAAAGAAAAAGAATAATAAAAAAGATTATGGAGACGAATAATAGTTATTTTTGATACAAGTCCCAAAAATACAGTTTTTGCGGATGAATCCTTGCTGTTTCCGGACGAGGCAAAGCCAAGTCTGAAATAGCAGAGACGCGTCCGAAAAAACTTTTCTAGGTGTGCTTTAACAAAAAAAATGTTGTTTCTATAAACAACAGTTCCTAAAAACACATTGAAACCTCTTATTATGTAGATTAATTTTTAGAAAATAGTGGCTAAAAATAAAAAATAGTAAAAAATTCATTTTAGGGACCTAAAATAGCTATTTTTGGAAACGTATTAAATATACTTTTAAAAAACAGACCGTATAACTTCCAAAAAAATAATTCAGATAAGTTGTAGATAAAATTACCGCCTCTAAAACTACATTAATTCCTTAATAAGTATCTAAATGACAATAAAAACATTTTTCTTTAATTAGTCAGTAATTTTTACAATTTTTTTAATAGCTTTATCATAGTCACGATGATGCAAAAAACGTCGTTTCGTCGTTTGTTTTAATAAAAGGTTTATTGTGTAGGAATTTAACGTGTTACATACTTAATTTTTTGTGTTTAAAAAATTAATTTCGCGTAAAAAAGACTAATTCAGAGTAATTATAGGGCTTACCAATTGAAATTCAGTAGCCCTGAGATAAACCAAAGAAATCTCTTGAAACTGTAATCAATTTATACTTATGTACATACATTCTAATTCTAAAGAGAATTTGGTGAAAAAATATTTTATTTAAAAAAATTTAATTACTTACAGTCCAAGTCGTGAAGAAGTTGCACTGCAGTTAAGATTTTCGATCTGTGGTCTGAATTTACGATTCCTAAATAGTCTAGGTCAGATGGTTCAATTTCTTTAAACAATTCTAAATCTTCGTAACCGTTTAACACGAAAACTGATATATATTCTTGTAAGTTGATCTTCTGTAACAAATCTTCAACTGAAATGGGTTTCCCTTTGATGTTGCGATGCCATTTCAACTCTCTCCTGGCTTTCACCGATCTTTCCGACAATAACTCTACATTAATAAATTTAAATGTTCCCTTTTTTCCATGGCAGATACCTCGCCATTGGCCACTTGTATTCATTGAAACTATATCTATTATATCACCTTTCTGTAACAAAACAATGTAGGATTATTAATCAACAAAACTTAGATTCTAACCTTATATTTTAAAGCTTCTTTATCATATGGACTAGGTATGTGATCTACCAAAGCCCTCGCTCTCCCCACAATTTGCTCCGTTGGACTGGGATCAGCATCCTCCGTGGAAATAGAACTATGATTGCTTCCTGCTCTGACAAGAGCTTGCGTACCTTTACATAAAATAAAAATAAGGATTTTATATTTAGTTTGAAAGAAAAGAAAGAACTTACTAGATCCTGACCCACTCGGTAAACTTTCCACCGAACTCGCCGAACACGGGAAGGCTTGATCAGCTCGCTTTTGTTCATTCGAGTCACCTTTCAGTCTTGATATTTTTTTTTGAACGTCTTCCCTGAGACCACGCACTTTCCCCACAATACCAGAAGCCCCCGCTGATCGTCCGTCACTCGACTGCAACAATCAATCAATTCACAAAACATCACAAATTTATTTATTTACCACGTGGACGGTTGCTACTTGTTGACTACAATTACTGAACTCGTCTGTATCCTCATAGTCTGAACTTTGGCTGGGGGAAAGACCGTCTTCGCTTCGGGGGTAGCCGCTGTTTGTTTTCCTAAAGTGTCGTATTTTTCCCTCCAAGTGGCTGTAGTATTGAGGAGAAACCATCTGGGATATGTCTTGTTGTTCCGATCGACTCGTGTCCATGGAGAGGGTCGATAGTCTTGAACTAATACTCTGCACATCGGAACTGGCGTAATCGCCGCTTTCTCGGTCTCGAGACGATCTAAAAAATAATTAGACAAAATTTTTAAAAACATTTTAATGTCAGTAGCAACGCAGCTAAAAATCTCATTAGAACTGCTTACACCTAATTCAATTTCAAGTTTCCCAAGATGAATAATAATACAAAAGACAGGCAGCTTTGAAACTGAGGAAAGTAATTATTCACACAAATACCTTAAGTGGTTTAAATAAGTCATTACATTTTAATTCTTTTAAAAACTCTATAGAAAGTTTTGAAAAACTCGTTTAGTCGATATAAATTTTACCTTAGCGGAATAATAGTCGGTGGGTAACCAGCTTGTGGTAGAATAAGTCCACGTCTAGGAGTTCCCCTGGGAGTGGTGGCGGTAGGGGTGTCTCTAGGAAGGGAGATATCCCCGGCACTTCTCAGCGAGATTACTCCTTCCCCACGGGACTCTTGCCTCAGGTTCAGGGTAAAGCAAACTCGACCGTTTTGTATAGTGGCCGTTGGTCCAGGACTGCTGCCCATTAGGAAGTCCTCCGGGTCGCTTTCGTACGGCGGTTCATCATACCAATGGCCTCGGTCGTGGCCGTGAGCGCCCGGTGCCAGCATTCGCGCGTCCTCATCGTACATATAAGTGTCATCTGGAACGTAATTGCCTCAGAAGGCGATTTTTCTACAGGATATTCGGCGTGTTACCTCCCGACAAAGGCCCCCGGATACCCTCCTTGCCCAACTGCAATAAACCCTGCTTAATGTCTCGCAGGATCTGCAATAAAAAATACCATGTTCACAAAAATCATTACAGCTGCAAACTACATACCGGGTGAATAAAAAGTATGAAATCAAACATTTTTTGCATAAACTAATTAAAAATTAAAATAATTTTTAATTAAATTAAATAAAATAATTGGTGAAAAAAAACACGATTAGCCCGTCACACCAAACTTTTATTTAAAAACACAGTTTGGTGTGACTGGCTAATCGTGTTTTTGTTCATCGTTTCCATACCAAGAAGATCCAAGAAGAAGAAAAAATAATTGGTACAGTACATTGAAAATGTGATCGTTTTTCAGAATAATTTTTTTCTAAATTTCTTTAGTTTTCGAGTTTTGAAAAAAAAAATTAATGACAACCCACCATGATCATTTTTCTAATTAAATATTATGATTCAAAAATAACCTGTAATTAAATAAAATAGTTTTTTAACGAGTAATTTTTTTAAATAAATTGTTAAAGTTGCGAGCTCATCACGAAGATTTTCCGAACTTAACCCTTAATCCAAGTGGTCTTTTCATGCATTTTGGTCATAGGATGGGTCCGTTTTTTTGGGTCAAATATTTAGGGGTGGTTTCGGATGGATTAAAAATGGAAAAAAGGGAGTTCTTATTGGATTTTTCGATCCATCCATCCTCGGAAGGCAACTTTAAGAATAAAAAAAACTACTCTATAAAAAACAATTTTATCTAATTAAAGGTCATTTTTAGCTAATAGTCTTTAATTAAAAACATAGTTCATAGAGGTTGCCATTAATTTTTTTTTTGCTAAACTCAAAAATTAAAAAAAAAATCGAAAAATTTTATTCTTGAAAAACGATTACATTTTTATAGTATTTTACACTGAATTAATTATTTTTTTCGTAAAGTAATTAGTTTATGCGAAAACGGCTGGTTCCATACTTTTTATCAACCTGGTATACAATTTTTTGAAAAATTTTGTTGGTTCTATACCAGCTATACTTAGACTTTTGGGTTATCCTTATTTTCTATAGTATCACGTAAGTCCGATTAATTTTAATTAAGTACATTTTCGGCAAAACATTGAAAAACATAAAAAAACGGAACAAAAAGTGTAGATCATATTCCGAATAAGAACATCAGGCTCGACTTGGTTAAAATGTCCTCCAATTGGGCTATAACAGCATTTAATCCTTGAAGGGTAAAAGAAGCAAGTTGTTGTAAATCGAAGTTTTTAATTTACTAGGGGTTGTAAAGTTATTTGAATCACCCTCTATGACGTCACCTTGACCTGTTTGTTTATGCAAATGGTTGAAGTTTCCATATTAGCTGCCTCTTATGAAAAATAAGGCGAAACCTGTTTAAAACATTTATAATGTGCATATGCACGAGTTGCCAGACAAAAAGCTTGCCTGTTTTCCAGACGATAAAACTCGGGCTATTTTATGCTCCATCTTATGGCAGATGCATGACTGTATTGTTACTTTATAGCAAATTGGTTACATTAAATTTCAATGCTGTAAAGTGTATGTAGTATTTGCGAAGGTTTTGTTTGGTATCAACAAACGAAATTTTGTGCGCTCCAAGCCATCTCTGCGAATATGAATCCCAAACCTTATACAGGAACAAGGAGCAAATATTTAAATTGCCGGATTCACCGTGCTTTGCAGTGATTGAAAAAGGCAAAAAACTATAATGCACTCAACATTATTCGTTTCGAATTATTTTGTAACCTCTAGTTTACAAATAAAGTATGCAAATAATAGAGGAAGCGGAATAAGGCTTATGCACGCTATAATTGCAATTGACAACGTCGGAAGCGTCATGCAATATTTGAAAAAGCAGGTCAATAGACTATCGAAATCTTTGAATTCGCTAATGTGACTTCCTTTTATGAAATGGCAATAATAGAAAGGCTTGCCACTTGTTTTTAATGGATACGTTACTCTATATTTCCTCTCAAGTTTCCTCCCGTACTCCAAAAACTTTATCTAAGCTGAATTACGAGAAAACTTTGTTTTGAGTTTGTATCTATTTTATTGTCCATAACAAAAGGGCGTTTTACTTATTTTGCACTGTTTTAAATGCCTGATTAATTTGATGTGTTTCTTTTAGCCAATGGGGTGGAGAACGACTTATATATAGGCTAAGTATGAGTGTCGCGTATCGAAATCCACACGTGAATGGCTATATGTCGTATTTGACAAGAATAAAACGACTTGCAGTCAGTTCCCCATCCGAAACGTCTGATTGCATGGAAATACGTATCTGTCACGGGGGAATATTTCAATTTGTCTGCTATGCCGGTTCAATTCCGGGCCTGTATTCACATTTTACATTGAGATGTATGGTCGACTTGTGAATTTAGCACGGTTTACAATAGATCCTATGAGCCTTAGCCAAATAAAAAGAGGATCTCCATATATTTACGGAAAAGCGGTCGAATAATTGCTTCCTGCTTCACTAAATTATCCACTTACCTCTTCGTGTTCTTTCGTAAATTTCTCTCGTTTCCTTAAAGCTTCTTGTAGTTTCAACTGCAACAAACAGACAATCGAATTAAATAGGATTGATCAAAGGGTTTCCTCACCCAAAACGAAATCAATATTTATTCCGGCCTAGATGTGAAATATTTTCACTCAAGATTTTATACACGCAAATCCGGGAAAATTTAAAAAGATATGTGATATCAAAGGACATAGAGAAGTTTACATCTAGTAAGGAGTGTGTACTTTGCTGCCAACAACTATCTTGCTCACCAACTTGATATATTACATCAAGAGTTTGATATGATCTTTCGACATGCTGTCATAACTAATTTTGCTCCTAGCTAACTTTAGTAAAACAGCTGGCAAATGAGAGGATTTCACAAACAAAAAATAAAGCATTTTAAATTAATTATATTATACAGGGTGATTTTTGTAGGGCCTACATTAGAATCTTTACAACTTTCAATTCTTTGAAAGTTTGGGTGTTACCAAAATCGACCATTCTCAATTCAATTAAATTATTTCCAAAATGGCTGAATTTCAGGAACAATGAGAATTTTGCGCCAACTTTGAAATTTTAAATTGAAACCCCCTATTTTTATTGCATTTTGGAGTTTGCTTTTTCAAACTGAGCAAAATGTACACTTGGTTGCAAAAAAAATCGGAAACTGTCAAAGCATAAAAATATCAGATGTTTATAATTATCCATAGTTTGAACATGGCTTAATTCTAAAAGGTTAAGTTAGAACTGACAGTTAATCTGTAGTATTCACCACTCATTGGGTTTTTATGTAAGTAATCAACTAAATGATTATCATGATTTGCATTTGATGCTTTCGGCATTTAAATGCGGCATTGCAAAAAAATATTTGAATGCGACAGATTAACAAGGGCAAAACCTGTTTCATTCTAAAGAAAATTCAGTTTTCCGTTTTTATTGCAACCAACTGTACCCAAGTTGTTGGTACTTCTCTGTCATAGTTTTTGACATACTTATGTCATTTTTTTGTCAATTCTTTTATTTGCACGGGTCTATTCAAAAAATCACTTGAACTCTGCAGTAAATGAGATTTTTTTTTGCATTTGATAATCAAAAGTTTAAAAAACCTTCTAATGTAGCTTAAGACTCTCAAATTTCAAGTCTATAATATGATTTTTTTGAAAATGCTTATCAAAATACAGCTATAACTCCGTTTTTTCAAATAGCATCACCTCATTTACTCAACGGCAGTCGAAAGAACATCAATTTTATGTAAACCCCATCTCCTTCAGTTTTTTAAATAATCAAAAAAAGAAGTTTTAACTCTTTATTTTCATCGTTAATCAAGTAGGCTTTGGAAAATGGTCAATGATTGTCACATTTTGACGTTTTAAGTAGTTTTTAACTCATTCATTATCGAATAAACAGTAAAACAATAATAATTATGGCTTATTACCAACCAAGTTGTGTTAGACCTATTTGTAAGTTACAACCAAAAGGACAGAATAATTCAAAGGACCTGTCTTGCCTTCAATGTGAAGTATTCTCGCATGGATAAATTTTTGCGAATCAGACCACTGATCACTTTCAAAAGTCTACTGGATTAATGATGAAAATAAAATAAAATCTGTTTTTCGTGTTTATTTCTAAAATTGCAAGCGATAGCTATAGGACATGTTGATAAGTCTTCATAAAGATCAATGTTTTTTCGATTGCCGTTGAGAAAATATGGTTATGCTATTTGAAAAAACTGAGTAATAGCTGTTTTTTGCCAACCATTTTCAAAAAATCATATTAGCCTTGAAATTTGAGAGTTGACAATCTTGAGCTACTTTAGAAGATTCTTCAAACATTTAGTTGTCCAAAGCAAAAAAATATATATTTAAGGGTTCAAAAGTTGTGATTTTTTTAATAGACCCCTGCAAATAAAAAATTCATATTATTGTCAATGTTTTTGTCGAAATTTTGACATATACGTATTATTTCAAAAACTACGGCAGATACGTATCAACAACTGGGTTCGTTTTACTCAGTTTGAGAAGACGATATCAAATCAGCAATAAAAATGGGTACTTTCCATTTAAAAGTTCGAAGTTGGCGCTAATTTTTCGTAGTTCTGGAAATTTAGCCATTCTAAACCTATAATTTAGTTAAATTAAGAATTGTTAAATTTCAAAGCCGTAGCTATATTGGAAGTTAAAAAGTTTCTAATGTAGGCCCTACAAAAATCACGCTGTATGTATACAGGGCGTTAAAAACGATTGTAAAGTATTTCAGGAGGTAATAGTATGGACCAAAACAAACAAAAAAGTTTTAATAAACATGGGTCCGCAAAGTAACGGTTTCGGAAATATAAAAAATTATTCGTTTTTTGAAACATTTATGTGAAATCTGTTCAAACAAAAAAGAGAAGCTTCTAGTAAATGTTCTAAAAATTTTCACATTCGATATTTCCGAAACCGTTACTTTATTTTGGTCCATATACATATATGTTTTACAATGTTTTTTTAACACCCTGTATATAAAATTGCGGTTTATTTCACAATTACATCTTTAAAAAAAAAGAGGAATTTTAAAATTTGTACTTTGTTTTGTAATTTTAATAAAACATTTATTGTGTAGTAAAATACGAATATTTTAGATATTGGAGAGCAAATTAAAAATTGCGTGAGCGCTAAGATTTCATTCGTTTCAATTAGCTGAAGCTTATGTGAGAGAATAAATTAGAAAAGCCATTATCCGGTCCATTTGGCACCTGTACCGCTGCAAAATCCTCCTATTACCGCATATACAAGCGATGCAAAATGTTCCCCGTGATGCATCGGTGGCTTGTCCAGCCACTGAAGTCGTAAAGACAGCAATAAAACGTGAAAATCCCATCACATCGTGACCATCGGAAACTTTTCAGCCGTAAAAACTGGACCTCGGATTGCAGTGACATTTTGATATAAGGGCCAATGTTATCCCCGGGGGTTTACACATGGGAAAGAGCAAGCTGGAAACCAAACATCGCGTGCTTGCGCACAGAATAGATAAAGTTTATGGCGAGCAGTGATAGAATACGACCGTCCAGGGAATTTAAAGTGACCGTCTGAAGGAAGACGGACTGTAAATAAGTGTGGATCAGTGTTGATGGAGTGATTGGGAGTCACAGACGAGTTGTTTAAGAGCTTACCTTGTAGATTGTCTCTTCAAATGTGTTGGGGGCGCCGCCGTTCATCTGGAGGTGGCGGAGGCGGTCGTAGTCGCGGGGGTCTACCATGGAACGGAGCACAGCGTGCTGTCCCAGATCCGTCAGACCCAGACCGCTTTGGAGGACGCTGTCAGGGGTGTCGACCTGAAATTTATAAAGTGTACAACATTATTTTACGAGGCGATAAAGAAGCTACCGGAAAAAACATATCACTTGGAACATTATTTTGCAAACCATTTGCTTTCCGCGGTATTAAGATCAAATTTGTACATCATAGACTCCAAGTGAGAACGGGAAATAAGGATAAATGTTCACTTTGTTGAACATCGTAAAAAATGATGTTGCAAAAGTACACAATAGGGAAAATGCAATAACGTACAAATTTAGATATTACAGCCCCTCAGATGCAAATAGTGAAAAGTTTACGTCTACAGAAAAATTTAATAATGATTCTTACTAGTTTATTTAAAACCTTTTACGTTGTAAAATTAGCGCACAGTAAAAACTAATAATAGTTATTTATGCATCATGGGAATAAACAACTACTTTAATCCCAATAATGTAGGCAATTTTCACTCGAGGGCTTAGCGTAGATGCATACAAAACTTGCCTCCCAACAGACTAAATTAGTAATAACCACGTAATAAGATAAGAAAATGATAATTTTTCACACAGGGTGTTTCAGAACTTGCGTTTCAGAGAAAAATTCCAAGTAAGATAAGACGCCAGGAACATGAAAAAAATGTTTAAAAAATTCAATTTGTCAAAAAATTTGGACATTTGACAATTTTTGTCTTTTTAATGTTATTAATGTCTTTAATGTTATTGTAGTTTCCTCCTATAACAGCCTGCAGCAAAACAAAAATGAAAACTTATTTTCCAACAGAATAGAGTGCAAATTTTAAACTCACAAAATTTCGAAATTTTTATAGATAGAATTTTTTGAACATTTTTTTATATTCCTGGTAAAGTATATTTCATTGAAATTGGCATAATAGGTGGCTATGGAATTTCGTATTTAAGTTTGTAGCCCTGTGCATGTCCCTGATATAACAGCTGATGGGGTTTTTGTTTTTCTTTGATCACTTACCTACATGGTTTATTTAACTGACATGACTGACATTTGTATTCGTTTTTTTCACTGTTTTCGTTGGTTGTTCGTTATTCCTACTATTTTTTCAAATTATAATTAAAAGTAGTTCTCTTCAGAACCCCAGATTTAAAGTACACGCTAAGGTATGTTTGAAAACATAATCAATTTCTTTTTGTTCCTGTTTTAGGCATTTTAGGTTAATGGAATCAAATATACCAATTTGAATTAAACCAAATTATTTTATCCACGGCAAAACACGATTTTTCAGGCTTCAGTACGCGAAGCTTCATTTTGTACAGATTTCCTTTTTCCACTCCGATCGCAACAACTTTACCATTGTTTAAAAATTAACAATTTTGTCCTACATTTTTAATGACAAAATCCAAACCCCTTTTGGCTGCAATTTTCACGGAAAATAAATTGTGTTTCATCTCCGGTGTGAATAAAACGTCTATTAAAATTCCTGGAAGCCACTTATTATCAACGAAAGTCTGTATTTTCTACAAAGCAAATAGTGTATGTTTTTGGTGTCAAAACTACACCTACAAAGGGATGAAACTTTTTATGGAGAAAAACTCTCTCTGAAAACCTTTGAAAGAGGGTTCTTGAAAAATAAAATTTTAACTATCTTAACCTCACTTTTTTTAGTGACAAATTTAGTTCCTTAATATGTAAAGCCTTTTTCACATTTAAAGCGCAGTTTACACAATCATGGCCTACTGTTATGCCAATTTAAATGAAATCTATTATATCTTACCTTACATGGCATTTTTCTCTAGGGCGCGAGTTCGGAATCACCCTGTCAAAATATTTAGTTCATTGAATTGGAATTAAAAAAAAACATTCAAAAGATTTAATTCCAGTTTTTAAGATTTAAAATTGGTATTTGATTTATTTTATTCCATAGGCGCTAAAGTATCAGATTATTAGTCAAAAACGAGAAAATAAAGCGTCATTTTATTCCCTCTTAGGAATAGTAGATCACATACAGGGTGCTTCATTACCAAGACGAAAATTGATAATTGCCATGCGAAGCAAAACGTCGACGAACAATCATGCATTGACCACCAAGGATTGTATATTATTTTTTTCTCCTTAAAAATTAGAAAGCCAATAAAGAATTTATTGAATTTTAAAAAAACATGACATATGACAGTTCAGGTTGGTAAGTGGTCACTTCCTTATCAGTTTTCGGGTTGGGAAGTGGACATTTACCTACCTGATGAACTGTCATATTACATACCAACTGATAAGGAAGTGACCACTTGCAAACCTGAACCTGATATTTCATATCAATTGAAGTTGAAATGTCATACTTTCCAACTTTTCACATGTAAGATAATGTCGCGACAAATTTAAACAACTTATTAAATTGTCCTGTATTCTACAACCAAGTCAATTGTAAATAAGCAATTGTTTTAATTTTTTTATTCCTTTACTTCAAAATTTCAAGTGAAATTGTAAAAAAAATTACAATAATTCTCACAAAAATGTAGTTGTTTTAAATTGATAATTAAAACAATGTAAAGTCAAGTAATAAACTCAAAGCAGACATTCTGTCAACAGACTTCTTAATAATGTTATTAAAAATTATCCATAAGGCTCTTGTAGGTATAATTGAGTGGATATTGGAAGTTGAACGAATCGGACACATATAAATGAATTCTGGAAATTCTAATTTTTATTCGGTCAAAAGAGCAGTCCATTTTTCTTTGTCACTGTTGCGCGTGAGATTAAATATCACGAAGACCGGAACTGAAATTGATGACACAGGAAATAAATTGAACATTTGAGCGACTGTAATATATTTTTAACGAGTCTCGATAGCTTAGTAAACTGTTATTTTTGCCACACACGTCTTGAAAAGTTTAAAAGCGCAACTATGAAATAATTTACTCCAGAAGAAACAGTTTCTCATTTCTCAACAGTAGGAAAAGTAGTTTGTAAAATGGTAATAAATCAATCACCTGTCATAGTGGATTCACAGGAGAAATAGGCTTGAAACTTCAGTCTGCTGAAAATTAAAATAAACGGAGTTTGTCGAGCCAACTAATTTCTCAGTTGCCTCTTTGCATTTTTCTGCGTTATGAACCGGAGAATGAATAATGGCCACGATTTTATTCCAATTAAAGCGGAACTGACTTGGAACACGTATTGAACAGTGGTTTTTATGTAAAGTTTAATAAATCTAGCTGGAAAAAGCTGCAAAAGCTCCATTTCCTAATCTACTCGTATGATCTAAAAATCAATTACTGTGGACCCCTGCTCTGAAATTATGTAGATTTCCTAAGGAACTCCTGGCTTGAGAAGAAGAGTCGAATAAAAAGTTAATATTCCATCTAAAGTTTACTTTTAATTTAGCAGACCTGATACTTTTTAGTCTAAAATTAATATTCAACACGAAAAAACTCGGCTTATCGTATCTGATCAGAAATGGATTAACAACGAATTTTATGGTTTGATGGCACAAAATGATCAATAAACACGCTTAAAAACAATTATTTCGATTAAACAAGCTGTGATATAATACTCTCAAATAAATAGAAGAGTCTGATTGCCGCATTTATCAGAGGTCTAAGTCCGGATATGTGCGAGCGGATAACGTCAAAATGAGAGATTACCAGCAATTGATTTTCTTTTATAAAAGATAATGGAAGGCGTACGTGACGGCAATAAAACGAAAATAAGATTTTCTTGTTAAAAGCTGCCTTTGAATGGAATATCAATTAAGTGAAGGTCAGAAATAATTAACTTAATTGCAATATTTTAGACCAAATGAAATAATAGAGAGTATAGTTGGATGAAGGTTTTTAATAAATCAAAATCAAAATTCTAATTAAATTTCGACAAAGGCAACAGATCTCACAGAAATTTCTAATGAATAATATTTTGTTTGCACAAGAAAGAAAGCAAATATGCGAAACATAACTCATAATTGGGATAAATTATGGACGAGAGGTGTACGGATGTTAATTTATATGGGATGTAGGTAAATTCACATCAAATGAAACCGAGTTACCACGTTTTAATTATAAGATAAATCCCGATTCAGTGAAGCCTCGTTAGGTGGAAATAGCCCGATTTAGCGAAGAGGAAAATTGTGTGTTTCCGATATAACAATGAACGTAACTGAAGTAACCGAACCTGGCAAAACCCGGTTGTATAATTATCAAAGTTTCCATTAGAAAAATGAAAAACGGGAGATTTTAATCACGAGTCCGAAAAATGTCGAAAAAACGTCTCATTTGTAGAAATCGCGTCGCAGGAAAACCGAGTCAAACGAGCGCACCACTTGCATGTACTTATTAAAACTCAGAGTGTACAAAAAATTTCACAAAAGTATCTGCGCTTTAATCTTCGAATACTTCGCCGAGCAAGTGTTTTTCTGTAAGCTTTGTGTGCATTAGTCTGCTGCTTCAATTAGAGTGTACTGAAGGTATAGGCATAAGTGATGTCGCTGAGTTGGCGTCGCGACGCTTCCTTCCGCCTATTCTAAAGGTCGAAGTCCTGTGAAGATTTCGAAAACCGATCCTAGATTGTGCAGCACGATTGTGTCCAAACTAACGCCAAACTAATAGAAACAAAACGTTTGCCCGATGTACGAATGGAATTAGCAAACTCGAATGAAATTAACCCCCAAGTTCAACAACGAAGAACTGCTGATCTGTAATACAATGCATAAGGGTTGTCAATGTCACGGTCTTCCATTGTTTCATTGCGTCTCGAGTGGTGCACTTATTAGCCTCTTCCTTCCTCTCTATACACTCTCCCTTTCAGCGAACTTACACGGTCGCCGCCTGTTATACACGATATGTTAACAAGGATGTCGATGAATGGATGAATGTCTTGCGGCATTTCAATATACAGACTTCCATTTGGTTTAAAAAGCAAAACGAAACAAGACGCACACTTTTTCTTTAAAAAAAACTAAGATCAAAAAATGTAATTTGATTCGCAATAAATGGTTCGTTGAAAACTTTTTAGAACATTAGTGAAAAAAAGAATAATGTTTAAAAATCAGGCCAAACGTCATTGTAATATGTATCTACAA